TGCTTCTTTAAAGTGATGTCAAGGATGGTGCTAAAAGTTGGTATCCCACGATTTCCATTTGGCAATGGATAAACGTAAGAGGGATGCAAAATAGATAACCTAGATGTGACAGATAAGTGGGGAAAAGGACAGAAGTCTTCTCAGATAATCACGTAAATACCAAACAAATACTCTTAAGGGCGTATTCTAGAGTCACCGCTTAAAGGAGGAACAAGGGTTTTGATTAATATCGAAGTCCTTCGTGAAACGATAACAAAAACGTCATGTGAAGATGCAGGTTAAGGACGTAACCTTTCGTAGATTTGCTGTAGGGTTTCGACAATTTGTCGGATAAAGTAGGCCAGACCATTTGTAGATGAGAGGGGTTTATTTCACAAACATTACTCCCGACATTTCGAGAAAAAGGGGCATGTTTTTATTAAAGGTCGGGTAATGCGGCCACCCGACCCAACACGATGACCCGAAGTAAGCCGTACCAAACCATGCCCAGTAGAGAAAAAAAGTGGACAAAAATCCTAGATGGTGACCCCTACTTTATTGTGTAGGTATCCTACATTAGTAATACTGACCGTGAAGAAATCTATTTTTTTTCTGATCTATAATTGTTATGAAGTCTATCAATTTGTTATCTTCGCCAAATTTGTTACGTTTAGATACAACAAAGTAATGAATATATTACATAGACACACTTTTTGTTGATTACTGATTCTATTTAGAATTCTGATTGTGGTCTCCCAAAAAAAAACGAGGTACTAGGCTCAAATACAAATTCTAGGTCACGTAGTTACTCTATATCGCAATTAGACAGTAAAGGAGAAGGACAAGAAAATTTCCAAGAACCGCGTCTAGTGGCGTAAACCATTGGTATCACTGGAGGCCACAATCGTACGAGGAATATGACATGTCAGGGTCCCCCCTCCATTATATCCATCAATTTGTCCCCATCTATTTCGCAGTTCGCGGGAGTGGGCACATGCCCCCCATAGCACCCCTGTAGCTACGCCGTGACAGCGTTGCTCCTTCGGTTACGCCATGAAAGTCAGATTGTAAACCAGTAGAATGTTCAACGTTATCATGTAATGTAGTTTTCTGTCTTAAGTTACACCCATTTAAGCCACAACACGGTAACACTATACCTGTCTTGCACACGCTATCCACCTCGAATAGAAATTGATAGCTTATATGTGTAACGCATAAGCAAGAGGAGATAAGGAATACTCCTCTCGCCACAGACCAAAGAAGTTGCTTAAATTACTATCCCAAATGACATCACATATTCTAAAGAGTTAAAAGGATGATTTTCCGCTGTGAAAATTTAACTATTATGCTATATTTGATATATATTTTTACATTGAAAATAATTTAATTATTTTTCTTCACACCATTGCTCCATCTTCTGAAGATAAATGGGGTGCCAATAAAGGAGATATGAGAAAGGTACCTCTCCTTACCTTTAAAAAAAAATATTATTATGCATTTAAAGCTTTACATAGAAAAAAGATCGGTGATATTTAGGAATTCGTTGTATCGGGATCAGGAAATTAGAAACTATTTTAGGCAATAAAAACCGATGTATGTCAATGACTCCATAACATCGGTGTGTTCGATAGCGATCAAAATTTCATTACACCAGAATAAAAACACATGCTGTGTGTGAATAAACAGCCGGTCATTTCCCTTTGCGTTTGGTAATTTGATTGGTTTTAATCATTTTGACGAGCTAAATATATCCAGTGATTGCCTTTAAAATTATGGGGGATATGTCTCAACGTTAGGGTTTGATATGGATCCTTGCCGCTAATTAAGGGTCTTTAAAGAGGGCGCCTGATTTGGTATTTGTTTTACTTGATGAACTCGTTATTTGATTTCTAAAAATCTATTTCGACCCTTATCTGACATTTGGTCGAGAGACTGATTTGCTATGCCAGTCGAAGTCAATAAAACCGTGATGCAGTAATGAACAAAATGTAGGCCTACATTCTATCATCCCTTTTCACAGCCCCCACACATCCTTCATTCTCTCTCCTTCTCTCTCTCCCTTTCTCAGTCTCTTTCTTTTTATTTAGCTCTCTCTCTCTCTCTATTTCGTTTGTAAGTATTCTGCTATCGTAATACTGATCATAAATTCAATTAAAATTCGCCGCGTTAAATACCAACAGGTATCATGATGCAGATGTATTTTTCAAGAACTAATGATAAACCCTTTAAATTCTTAATGATAGCACTACAGCATAAGAATACTCATGTCCATCTAAGTCCCCATAAAAGGCGCACATTTCTATTGTGCATGCATTAACATGCGTGTGAGTGTATTGAGGAGGATAGCCCCTGCCTGCTGTAATATGCCGTCCGCACAGTCTTGATAAATGACATAACATCTCCATGTAGACAGATCCGTTAGCCCAGGCTAAGTACGACAGAGCCGACTCGTATCAACAGTTTGATTGAAAATCACTCACCGGATTGGCTCGCATGTCTCCGATCACGTGACCGCCAAGGCAAAGGCGCCACGGTGCGTGATATTCATATTTCGACTGAACATATCGCATGCTTATGCCAATTTGTGAAGTGCTTTCGATAGTATGTACTGCTTGAACACCAAGAAAAAAAATATCCCGCCACCCAATGATTCTGTATTCATCCTCTCTCTATTTCCCTAACCTGTTCTGTCTATCTGTCTCTCTCTCTCTCTCTCTCTCTCCCTCTCTCTCTCCCTCTCTCTCTCCCACTCTCTCTCTCTCTCTCTCTCTCTCTTCTTCTTATTTCCCCCTTTTCTCTTTATCGCCCTGATGCTAGCGATTGAAATAGACATAATCTTTTTAAAGTTAAGTTAGTTTTAGTAAACACCCAAAGAAAAAACATATTTCTATATTTTCATTCCTTTTTACTTTGCCAAAAAGATAATGACTGATGTCCATCCGAGGAGCTCTGTAACAAGTTTACATCGTTCGTAATATGACTTGTAAAAGGAGCTACCCCGGTTTGATACCTAGCAGCTCAGGGGGGTGTTTCACAAAGATCCTAAGTAGAACTTAACTCTCAGTTGGACTTAAAAATTATGGACAGCCATTGGAGTCTTAAAATGAAATATATTCAAAAGCAGAAATTCAAGTATTTTAGACTTTTTTTATAAATTCCACATCCAGAACATGAAATCTCCTTGATGATAGAAAATATGAATGATTTGAATAAACAACTAATACCTTTCAAAATAACTTTTACAAAATATTTTCAAAGATACTAATGGCTTTCCATAGTTTTTAAGTCCAACTTAGAGTTAAGTTTGACTTAGGATCTTTGTGAAACACCCCCCAGGTAAAATAAAGTCCTCACCAAAATCAATGACAATTTTCTCCCGAGCAATCAATCTGATGTTTATCTGAAGAAGCGTTTCTTTTATTCTCCACTAAGGTGCCCCGAGCTGTCAAAACGGTATTCGAAAGTGATTGTGCAGATATGAAAACGTTACAGCAATCAGCGATAATATATAATTTGGAGCTGCGCGAATCAGATTAAATTTGTCGGTCCCTCGATTACAATCTGACATGTTTCATTATGAAAAGGGAGGTCACTCGATACCGCGTAGCTAGGTAGACAGGTGTGGTTTCTCACAAGGTTGACGGTTAGCTGCGATGGACCTTTTTAATGAACAATGTCACCTCAGTCTTACCATCAAACAAGGTGCATATTAAAAGACTGACCCAGCGTATTCCTCCAATCTCAGATTGGTGAAAAAGGTCTTTTAAGACGGAGAGAAACCTGTAATAATGACTACAGCCATTTGCCAAGAGAAAATAAACGCATGAAGACAATTTGTAAAACAATATCATTTAAAATTGGTGGACTAATGATACAATCTAATAACCGCCTACTCGTATAACATAACTGTTTTACATTATTTTCAGGAAGTTGATACTTGCCATGTATATATTTTCTTGTTTTAATAAGACGCTGGTGACAAATTATCTCAATTTGTTTATTTTACACCTTATATCTGATATTTTCAATATTAAGAAAAACGTAAAACAAGGTATAGTTTTTATTTCATAAACTAATCTTCTTAATGGCGTCCAAAACACATATTCATTGCTTCTTTGCAGGTAAGATTGGCAATAGTTCCTTTACTAATACCACCAATCCCTTGTTTATGGGTTCATTTTTCCAATTGTCTAAATCTTTGCCTCAGAGTTGGAGTTTCATTACTTCTTAATTATGTTACTGATTAATTTTCTTGAAAATGTATTATATACCTCGTAAATTGAAAATCCTTCACTGGGGTTTCTTCTAAATAGGAATGAGTTAGATTTGATAATGATTTTTTTTTTGTGTGTGTGTGTGTGTGTGTGTGTATTACTTGCGAATTTCACGATTAAGCCTAATGGGCAAGGAAGAGGCGGGGAGGATAGGGACCTATGTATACAATAAAAGTTAGATAATATAATTGTTTTGATGATTTGACAATTAACGATTGAAGAAAATGTTCTCTCATAATAAACATACAGTGCCAATCACGGATTCATATCGCCTGTGTTACAGTAAAATAGCTGGAAAATAGAATCATGGGAATTCAAAATCAATTTAAAAAAATGTCATAGCCGGTCATCCGACTCAAAAAGTATGAGGCACAACAAAATATATGTAATTTTTCTTATTCAGCAATGAAAATGTAATAAAGCCGTGTAGGTTGTCTTATTGTCTATGAGAACATTCGCTTGAATCGATAATCTGAATTCCATTTATTGTCTCTGTTTGTTTCTGTATGTGTTTATTCGTTTTTGTGTTTTTTCGTTGTTGTTGTTTTCTTTCGGTTAGTTCTTTGTGGGTTTAAGGACTACTTGTACCTTTCTGCCTGTTTCATCTTTCGTCTTTTCAGCTCTTTCCACGTTCAAATCCTGTTCAATTCTGAAACAAAAATTAGAATCGATCTAGTAATTCATTTTTTCTTACTGCGTTACAATATCTTAAATTAACTGTTTTGTTTTCCATTTTGTATTACAGATAGCAATTTTGTTCTTGGGAATGCACAAGTGGAGAGGGACTACCCTATAGTGTACTGTTCTGATGGCTTCTGTGAGCTTACGGGGTTCGCCAGGGCAGAGGTCATGCAAAAGAGTTGTGCTTGCAAGTAAGTAATTGTTCACAAATTTGTGCAATGACATTTTCTTTGTCGTTCATCCGAATATTCGTTTATCTAAAAGTTCGATAATCCAAAGTTACGTTATTCCGAAGGTTCGTTATTCGAAGGTTCGTAGTTCCGGAACTTTCAAAATGCCGAAAATTGAATCGGGTCTAAATAAATCAGAAGACCTTTCTATTTTTTTAGGAGTTGTGAATTCCGCTACGTGTGCTGAGTTATGTACTTTCGGATAAACGAACTTTCAGAATAATTTTATTTTTTAAATCATAAAAACTTTAATACTTGGGGAAAAGAAATGATGAAACTCCTGGTATTTGAAATATGTACGTTTGCAATTACGAACCCTCGACATCGCTCTGATAATATATAGTAAGAAGCCTGAAGTTTAAGAGGAGTCATCTTAAACATGCATAGGTTTTATGATCTCGGATAATTCTGATAGAATTTCACTTGTTCGATTTATCCTCAACCGTATATAATCCTAAGCTTAAAAATTGGTTTTCATCAATAATAACGGGCGCACTGACATAGACGAATAACAAAAAAAAATACATAAAAAATCAGAAGTACTGAGCTGATTTAGAATGTACATAGGATAAAATTAATCCAGCTTCATAATTAAGTATTAGACTATTGTTCTAGGAAGTAAATATCTAGTCTTCGAATCGATCGATACTCACTGATATTCGTCTAAGACTAGGAATAATACTAATCTGAACCTAATTAAGTATCTAATCTATGTCAAATTCAATCAAATTAGAAGTATATACATCACGTAGAATGCTTTCTTTTGGTTTAGAGACGGGAATGTAATATAGCGAAGTCCTGCAATGAATCATCTTCACCGAGCCTACACATCGGCCTTATCATGCTGATTGCAAATGTATATAGATGACTTTGTTGGCTCCGAATCAAACTCTTAATTTGATGTCTGATTGGAGGAGACGTCGATTGATCTCAACTAGGCCATTCTAATCGGACTCGCCCTTCGCTGGGTACATAAGAATAGAAACATCGTGATTAATCCAAGACTTGAGAAACGTTTCCTTTTTCATGGTTGATGCTTATTATTTGCAACGTGAATTGAACGTTGCTCCGGCTTGGCCACATTTTAATCATGGGCAGATGGAGATGAATTTAATAGAGTATAGTCAGGTTCTAAGAGTACTATTGTTTTCCTTGTTTATGATCATGATTTTAACAGGATCCCAAATTTCGTTTATACCATTCCTTGATAATCGGCATAAACCTTTAGTTCATATGACTTGTCTATACAGGTTTGGCTGAATGAGTTTGAGACTGCTCATTTGTAATGGTATTATGATTCATAAAATACATTTATTTGGACTTTATTATAAATTTTTTGATTTCTAAACCTAACTTATTAGGTGAGTATTGTTACCATCGCGCAGGGAAGTTGCTCGATATAAAATTTTACAAATGAAACTAAATAAATTACAGAGGGAAGGGGATGAATAGAGAAATAAAAAGAAACATAGTTAGGCAAGTAGGTAAAAATCAAGATATACACGATATTAAGAAACAAACAAAATAATGACCGAAATCAATGGCATGCAGGCAATATGATTACAAAACTGTAACGTAGAAACAAAAAAATATTTGAATAAAGAAAACTCATCAGATAGCTTAGAGATTATGTCAAAGAGAATACAAAAGTGCGATCACATCTAAGTTTGCCTTAATTCATGGAATGATATATTTTCCCTAATCAAGCATATCAATTCAATTTTATGAAATTGTCAGTTCTAATAACTTCCTCCTCATCAAGGGATTTTTTTCGAGGCATATTCCGAGGTCATGTAATTATGTTTATAGACAGTGTATAAGAATACACAATATTAAACCCGGATGATTTTTTTTTTATTGATTTTTTTAATTGTAAAATGGATATTTTTGTCTTCAAATCTGGATTTAATGCTGGTGCGGTTGTGAACGTGGGTGTGGGTGAGTGTAATCGGTGAGTGACCGATACATAATCATGATTCTTCCTGTTCTTAAAAGCATGCTGGCCTAGAGGCATGGAGGCGAAACAAATGCTGCAATAAATAGATCGGAGTGCATCTATCTATATCCAAATGTACTTCACCAAGCGAGTTTACTTTTCAATGTTTATTCGGAAGTACACTTAGCTTTTAAAGAAAACAAAAGCTGTTTTCACCAGGATTTCTTTGCCTAGCCGGAAGGCAAGAATAATAAGATTGGTTTAGGAGTGGACGGGAGAGAACCCTTCAAAAATCAATTTTTAGGTATCGAAGTTCATATATTACGTCCGCGAGTAAGAATCTTCCATAAAATGTATAAAATGACCATTAAAAGCGTCATTAGGTATTAATATTAATCTTGCTTTGTGCCAAGTTCATGTAATCTAGATGGATTATTTGAGGTTGTACATGTATATATCCTTGACTGATTACGTGACTTACATCTTACCCTGTTATTACGTCTGCGAGTAAGAATCTTTCATAAAATGTATTAAATGACCATTAAAAGCATCATTAGTTATTAATGTAACTCTTGCTTTGTGCCAAGTCCGTGTAATCTAGATGGAATATCTGAGGATGATGTAACCTCGTATATAACCTTGACCGATTACGTGGCATACCTCTAACCCTATCTAGTTCATTCAGCAGATAAATGTTTTATTCCTGGTCTTCCTTTGCTCAGATTTATCTACGGGCCTGATACAACGATAGAGAAAATAACGTTAATACAGAACTCTTTACTGAACAGAGAGGAACTCAAAACCGAAGCACTCTTCAGGAAGAAAAACTGTAAGTATACTCAAATGATAATTTCATTATTCTACTGAAAACAATCATGCACGAATTAAACAAAATCCTTCTGGAAATGATATATATACAGCTAATTTAAAAACGGAATGTGAAGGATGAATACCTTAAGGGATTAATCGACATTATTGGGATGTAACAATGGACATAATACATCAAGAATGTTGAACTGTTGAATGTTCTTAACAAGTGATAGCCTATATTATAAGATTATGGCCAATTTCAAATATCTATCTCATTTCCCAGATTTTTTAGTGTGTGAGGTGTTAAGAATAGTCAAAAGTGAACATTTTTTTCCAAAATTCGTAGTTCCCTCAACCCTCATTGTTTGCTCCTGTTAATCTCTGTCATGAATTGTCTACAAAGTATATCATGGTAGAAAGTCTAGACACTATGAGCTTACTCTTGCAGAACGTCACGGTCCATTAAGGAATATATAAGCGATGGTAAAGTCGATTTGATAACCTTCCAAAGGAATGTATCTTTAGTGATTAAAACATCTATTTGTTCTCTTATCACCTTCATTCCATTCTCTATTCAACCTTTACAAATGATTATATTATCTACTTACATTTTATGAACTTTCCGTAACCCCATTCTCCGTCTGTGCCTTCTTCTTGTTCTTCCTTTTCTCATCTTGCTAATTCTGCTACTACTTCTGCTGCCGCTGCTCCGGCTTGGCGTTCTTTGTCTTTTCCTTCTCCTTCTTCTTCTCCTCATTTTTCGTCGTCGTCTGTTCCTCCTCCTTCTCTTACTCCTCCTCCTTCTCTTTCTCTTTCTCCTTCTCCTCATCTTCCGTCTTGGTCATCTTTTCCTCCTTCTCCTCGCGCTTCTGCCTTGTTTCTTTCTTCTTGTTCCTTCTTCATCTTCTTCTTCTTCACAGTAACCCCATTCTGGTGCCTTCTAGACATAGTGCCGATCAAAAATGAGAAAGGAGATGTGGTACTCTATCTTGCGTCCCACAAGGACATCACCAAAACCAAGATGGCCTCCATGGACGAAGATAAAGGTAGGGGCACATCAATCAGAGTAAGCTTGGTAAGGTGGCCATTTGTCCACTCCAAAAGTGGGCAAAACATAAACACCTACACCGAGTTTGATTTAAAAAGAAATACATGATCATGTATTAGAGAAATGTGCTTATTTATACAATAATGTTTGATGGAATGGTTAGGATTTGAAATGCTTCCATATTTCAAATATGTCTATAAATAATTCCCAAATTTGCGACACCAAATTTTTGTGCTACCTTGTATGTAGTCCATGTCCTTCCTTTCTTTTTATCTTGGAGCAAAATTTCTTCAAATTCTTATAGGCCCTAATTTTGATGATTCTAAACCGTATAAAGCACAAATATTCATCTTTATTGCATAATAAATCATTCCGAATGACGCTTACACAGTTTCTTTCAAAACTGGATCATGTACTTTTTAGGAGTTGGGTACATTTTTACCCATGGTGGGTAAAATAATGAAGGATTATGTGTGTTTGCTGGTATTCTTTTAACCCAACATTTGGTAAATTTTATCTCAACGCTCTTTAGAGTGTATGACCAGGGTTCTATATTACAAAGAGTTGCGATTGATTCAAATCAATCGCAACTCTTCATAAGACTGGGCCCAGAACTCGACATTATCTTTGAAATATTTCGAAACAATTAAACTGCCTCACAATCAACTTTTTCTATTTCGTCTTCCGTTTTCTTTCTGGAGAAGACTTCGACGAAGAAGAAGAAGATTCTGAGAATAACTACCTCAACGAACTTCCGTCAAACTACAACTACAACCGGAGGAGAAGCCGTGCGGTGCTCTATCACCTCTCAGGGCATCTCAAAGAACAAGAGAAAAAGAAAAAGAGAAGAAAACTCAAACTTAACAGTGTAAGAGAAGTCAAATGAAGCAGTGTTCGCAGTTAATTTGAACTATATAGTACCTATATTAAGTATAATATCATAAGTAGCAGCAACAACCGTAAAATAAATAGTAGAAGTACTAGTACTAGTACTACTAGTAGTAGTAGTATTTTATTTTATTTTTGGTAATATGAGTAAATGTCGTAGTTTCTGTAGTAGTCTAAAGGAGAAGTGCATGTAGTAGTATAGATATATTGACTGCTATGAGAGGCATAGCTGTTTCTATAGGCTCAAGGGTATGTTAAGCCTCGGTCACAAATGCCATTACGAACTGCTACGAACGCCGTACGACAATGGAAATTCGGGAAGACAATGAAAAAACAGGGAGATTCGTACGAAATTATCGTTCGTACGAACCTTCGTGACCGTAGCATAACATCCTACTATGACCCCGAGGCGCGCTGAATATTAAAGCAGTCCATATATGTTTTATATACCAAATTCACAAAATAGCCTACAAAGAATTTTAGCCTTATTATCCTTTCTTTGAGTGAATATTGGTTAAAACATCACAGATAATCTGAAACACTGTCTGCCTGTCTGTTAATCTTCGCTGGAAAGCTGCCTGAATTTTACGATCATTCGGGATTCGCACACACACTGTATGGTATCCGCGCTCGCACAAAGAAACTTTTTATACGTAAACCAATGGGGATCTCAGCAAAATGACCTTTACCCGGGCAACGGGCATCTTTCTCATTTACTATTGACCGTTACCCGGAAAATGGGCAATGGTTAGTTTCTTTGTGTGCATGGCTGAAATCACGGCTCCAATTTCGCCCAATCAGATGATTTATTCAACATACTAAAGAGGGGTATATAATAAGTAATATTAGTAGCAGTAGTAATACTTAGTTCAATTTATCGATTTATGATCCTCTTATTATTTCTGCAAATACTGACAGTGTCTCCTCCTACTTTCTCGTTTCAATCCACAGGGCCTGTTATCCCCTAAATCCACAGTACTACCGGAATATAAAGTGGCCGCCATGAAGAAATCGCGGGGCATTGTACTCCACTATAGCTTAATTAAGTCCATATGGGACTGGTGTGTGTTACTTGCTACGCTCTACATTGCCATTGTCGTGCCATTCAACGCAGCAGTACATCAAGAGAATGAACTGGTTATTACCATTCTCGATATCATCATCGAGATCATTTTCATCATAGGTTAGTTCCAAGAGCAGTCTTAACGCAACTGTAAATACTATGTGAAATATTGGTTGATTTGTGGGGATTCTGGAACAGACGTCGCCTCCGTTACGATCCAGTGCAGATGTGAACATCGCCGTTATTGTCTTGTCTTCTTCTCTCTCGTTTTCTCTTCATTTATCTCCTATCTTTTACCTTCTCTCTATCTCCCTCTATGGGTTGGTTTCTTTGTATACCCCTATCCTCCCTCCATGATGGTTCAGTGCGTAGAAGCACGTAGGATATTTTTTTCTACATGACATCACATTGATGGTACCAATTTGTAAAAGAAAACAAATCAAAGAATTATAACTTTCCTACTTTTTAGCAAACTTTTTTGTCATACGTTCACTCAAAAGATGCTCAGATTTGTTTTGCTTTCCATGTAACTAACTAAGTTCCCAATAATATCTATACCACCTTCAGCTGTTTATTTATGTATTTATTTTAATTGTTAGATGTCGTGATCAACTTCCGAACGACTTACGTGAGTAAATCAGGGAAAGTGGTTTACGAGGCGAGAGCGATAGGACTGAACTATATACGGAGTTGGTTCTTCATAGACTTGTTAGCAGCCGTTCCCTTTGATATACTCACACAAATATTCAAATTAAAGGTAAGAGACACTTCTTCGTGGGTTTTTACAACAAACAAATCATCATTTAATGTTCATGTAAAGCAATCATTTGACTATCGATATCGACAGAAAAGAGATAAAATAATTCTTATCAAGTATCCTCTACAGTAATATGATTCGGTTCATTGAAAAGTAAAATTTATCTATCAAATAATTTCCACCTTTTATACAAATAGTCAAATATTATCAAGTATACATAATATGCATAATTAAATGTCGGAAAGAAGGCGTCGATTATAAAATCTGAGTGCACAATACTCCAAACATGTGACTAAAGGAAATGAAGAGAGGAATTGAGTTTCTCGCGTAAAATGGCATACTTTTAATGTTTGATTTTCTGTTTTTTTTTTCTCTCTCTCTCTCTCTTCCCTCCTGTTTACCCTCTCTGAGTAGTTGGATACCATTCAACTCATCAAGTTAGCTAGGTTACTCCGTCTTCTTCGATTGCTCAACAAGATTGAGCGATACTCTCAGTACAGTGCTATCGTTCTCACCTTCTTCATGCTGGCCTTTGCCCTGCTCGCTCATTGGCTGGCCTGTATCTGGTTCGTGATTGGTCGAATGGAGCTTAGTAAAAACGACGATGGGTGGGACTTAGGTAACATTATTTAAATTAATTATTTTAATCAAATACTAATTATTTTTATCCATTAAAGTTCAATTCAAACATCAATTTTATAATTTTCAAAAATTAGTCAAGACAACAAAAGAAGTTTAAAAAAATTAGGGTAAAGTTTAAAGATGGTAATGGACATGATGGAATTGATTTTAGGAAGTCTTGATTAAATTCACTTGGCTTTGATATCTAATCAGTGGTTGTAATCAAACTTATGTGCATCATAAGGAAATAAGTACATTCAAGAGCATGGAAAATACAGCAACAGGTGATCAATCTTAATTAGGGCTAGAATTATCTTCCGAGAATGGAGACTATGCATAATTGGCTTGAAATTCTGTGATAATGGGCAATAATGGCGTGTGAAAGCCCTCGAAAATATATTGCAATTGCAATTATCAATATCATTATGAAATTCCATAATTGAAATAAGCGAATTAATCGCTTGAATTGTCTCGTCTCTTGATTGTCATTTCAAACGAAGTTACACAAATTCACGCATAACACAGCTTTCCTAGAATAATAATCTTGTTTCTTATTCTCTCGTCGGTATGTAGTGGCAAATGTAGGTTAATGTCTTGCCACAGGACATTAGTGGCATGTAGGGGATCAAATCCGAGACCTTTGCATTTCTAGTCAAGTACTTAACCACTCGACCATGGCATCGCTACAAAGATCGATGGTCTTTCCCTCTACAGTGTGTCCTACGATCTTATTTCCTGATGTGGCATGGTCTTTTGTCTAACAGGTTGGATCGTGGATCTGGGAGAACAACTGAAGAGGCCTATATTAGACTCGAACAGTACTGGTCCGGGGAACAATAGTATATACATCACAGCTCTATACTACACACTAAGTAGTCTTACAAGTGTAGGCTTTGGCAACGTGTCTGCCAACACCAACACGGAGAAGATCTTCACCATCTTAGTCATGTTCCTTGGAGGTAAAACGATTGATTGGTTGGTTGATTATCCGTATTGACTGAATTAATTGATATAACTGATGGCTAGAGTTCATTCATTAACCGACTGAATTGAATTGTTAATGTTTGTTGCTGTTGCTTGTTGTTGTTGTTTGTAATCTTGTTTGTTGTTGATGTTGTGTGTTTTTTTGCAGGTTAATTGATTGAATGACTGACTTATTGGATTGTTGGTTGATGGTTAATTGATCAATTGATATTTTTTTTTATTATTGACTAATCTATCAATCATTGATTGATTGATTGATTGGTTGATTGATTGGTTGATTAATTGATTGGTTGCTTGATTGGACTATCGATTGATAATACCGATTGACTGACCGAGTGAGATTTTTTTTTTTTTTTTATGGTCAGTTTTTATTCTTTTCTCTCTTGAAACAGATCTCTTGAGATAGATTTGTTGATCGGTTGGTTTGTCATGTATGTTCGTTGCTCGAGTAATCTACAAGGCCATTTTATTGACTGTATAATTGATTGATTGATTGATTGATTGATTGTACCATTGATAAGACCAAGGTTTGCATAAGAGCGATTTTTACGAAGTCGGGAATATCGTGGTGTCGTGTCTATTTGTCGTTTGTCGTCTTTTGTTTGAAGAGCCCTTTATCCTCCTATTTGTGTGTCATGGCTGCAGCCTACGGGACCCTGGGCTTTCGATCTGTTGGGATGTCTCGATCGGGAACACAATTATTGACTGAATAACGATGTATCGTTAAGTTGATTGATCTTTTGGTTGATCGATGGTCTGATTGAGTGGGTTTATGAATGCAATGACTTACTGATTGGTTGGCTTGTTGGCTGGTTGGCTGGCTGGTTGCTGGTTGGTTGGCTGATTAATGAGCTGATTGATAGATGAATGGATGGATGGTTTGATTGGTTGAAGGAATGGTTGAACTCCTGTGTGATGGATCGAAACATTAGCCTATATGAACTGACCTACATTTGATAAGGTTGCATGGTCTTTTCAGAATCAATAGCTTTGCCTCATTGAGTGCATACATGTCTAAATAAACATTTATCAACAATTTTGTAGATAGTATCTAATGAACGTGTACTAATAGATTACTCATTATGTTGCAAAACAAACTGAGGAAATTCCTAATCAATAAATATAATAATAAAAATAAATATGCTTTTGAAGAATAGGATTTGGACTTACCGATTTAGGAGCGTTTCTGTCAGATGATGTTTAAGATTTGTTTTGTCTTCAAATAAAAATCTTTTTAAAATTCTCAAAGCAAATTTACAAAATATCATAAGTAAACAGTACAAAATAATTGTGATGGCAATAAGCTGTACACAGTAATACAAATGATACATAACAAAATAAGTGTTATAACATGTTTCAATTCAATTGTACATCTCTCCATTTATCAAGAAATACACCAAATATGTCTCGTTTTGAATAAATTATTCGCTCAAGGTCAATAATGTTTAATATTCCAATTGTTAAATAATTCAAAATATAATCTTCTGTTTTTACATTTGTAGAGAAGATATAGTATTTTGCGTATAAAATAACAAAATTCGAGTGGCAGAAATCCCCCCCCCCCCCAGGAATTCCAAATATAAATGTATTCATGGTCAATATAATTTTATTATTTAAAGTGTATACACATTGATCAGAATCTAATATACCTTTAAATTTCAAATATTTATTTACCCCAGGAATATTATGTAAATATTTTAAACTAAAAAATAACGCAATTTTGTTGATAGTGCATATTTGAAGGGAATAACGTACACTTTTTCATATCCATAATCGATTCCAATAAAATTAAGATGCTGTTAAGATACATGTTAGATTGAGGGTTTTTTTTTATATGACAGCCATAGGCTATCAAGCTCTGGGTCTGTCTGAAGTTCGAATCGTCCAAATTAATGATATTTTTGTGTCATTTCGTTCTAGCACTGTGTCACGCCGCGGTTTTCGGTAACGTGACAGCCATCATCCAACGCATGTATTCCCGACGCGCTCTCTACTACACGAAGCTACGCGACCTGAAAGACTTCGTGCGCTCCCACCACATTCCACCAGCCTTAAAGACCCGGATGCAAGAGTATTTCATGACCTCGTGGTCAATAAACATGGGTATCGATACGACAGAGGTAAGAATTTTATCGAATGTGTGTTTGATTGGACGACATAAAATATGTTAATACCCACAATGCATCTTCACCACAGCCACAGGTAAAATACGTTACTGATCAGAAAAGGAAAAAAAAATGTGTACAGCATGTCACCAATAAATAAATTATTGCAATAATTAGATAGGAATAAACAGAGGCACATGGTCAATTCAGGAATCAGAGATGTATCCATTTGTACCTATATATGTACGAATATTTTAATGACCTAGGCCTACTAAATAATCCAAACAAGATTTTTCTTTGATGTGGTGATAAAAGTGTCCTATATGTGATTTCTCGAAAGCCTTTGCTATCATGTTCAAGTAAGGACGTTAATAAATCTGAACAATCTAACTGTTGATCTATTTTTGAACACAGATGCTGCAGACATTCCCTGAGGAGCTACGAGCCGACATTGCTATGCACCTTCACAAAGAATTCCTAGCTCTTTCTATATTCGCTGATGCCAGCCAAGGATGCCTAAGGTATGAAAATCCAGTGTACTCACAATGCATAGACATATCATCGAAAGTCCATGTCCTAAGCTCTGTTGATGCAGTCATAAGTGTCATGTATATATCAGTTGCAACGACACATACACTAGCTAGCAGGAACCTGGCAGACGCACACAACGAGGCTCTTACTTTTGCTAGATACTGGGAAAGTTGTTGTTGTCTCTAAATGATGATGATCATTCCCTTCCACTGCGCCAATTAATTCTTTTCATTCGTTATACCCGTCACACAAGAGGCGTCATTTCGATTGAATTATTACCTGCGCTGGTAGAGGCAGAGTCCCCGTACGCCAGTAAAGCGAATAAATAATGTCACTGTTCATTTTACAAGCATTCTGAGTGTACGATGACATTCTGAAATAATGCACCTGGGGCGTCAAAGACAATGCACCCCTTGACGGAACTCCTCCGTCAGCTACAGGACGCCTCGTTTGCATTACCGAGGTAGGCATTGCACGATACATACAACAAGGGCCAAACCCGGGGCCAAACACAAACTAGTGTTCTCTCTCTCATTCATTTGTATGTATTTCTAGGATACCGTATATTGGCTTAGCCTGCAGGCGCGTACCGATAAAAGTGACGAAAATTACGTCATATATCATTTTCTCTTGATGGTGGTGTCGATTTCTCTAATTCCATTTCTAGATCACTCTCATTGAAGATCAAGACAAGTTTCTGTGCACCTGGGGAATACATCGTCCATCAGGGGGACGCCCTCGGCGTTATATACTTCTTGCTAAACGGGTCAATGGAGATTCTACGACATGGAATGGTCGTCGCTATTTTAGGTACGCTACTTTTGAGGCACGCTTAAAGTGACTCGGTAACATTGTTGAAGGTTGATGAAAAAACTGCGTAATTTTTGTATGAAATGTTACTTATTATATTCCTTCTACTGTACTAACCCTCTAACATGCAAAAAAATCCTGGAAAAAATCTCAAACCACAAAGGTATTTATGGTTTTCTTTGAATGCGTAACTGTGCGACACCCTCTAACAGTAAATTCTCCCAACCGTTTTTCCATGAAAATAAGACTGACATAAGACAGGCTTTTACAAATATTTCAACACTTAAATGTCTGGAATGGTATATAAAGTCAATTCATTGCTTTGTGACGATTTACATTCACCTAAAATGTAATTAAATTCTAATAACATAGTTGGGAGAATTAAGGAAACGATCGGATCAGTTTTTCCCAATTTTTATCATAAATAGTGGTCTGTCTTCAATCAAACTTACATGTTATCTTTAATTGTGAATCTACAATTGAAGTCACTACCTCAGCCCAGCACCATTTTCTCTCATCTGAACAATGTTACCAAGTCCCTTTAAAAGGAAGTAAAGACCAGGGATATGTGATATCCCTGTAATGACTATTAAGAGAAAGTTTTGGCAAAAAAATGCATATTTATGTTTTATGTTGTTAACTGAAAAACGATTTGCTTTGGGTACACTAAATTGTATGGTGAGTTAATTTACTAAATTGATACAAGAAATTAATTCCGTTGTGTATTAGTGATTTCATCCTCATGTTATTGACAGGTAAGGGTGACCTCTTCGGATGTGACCTCTACATTACTGAAACTGTCATCTCATCAAGTGGCGACATCCATGCTTTGACTTACTGTGACCTTCAGTCCGTCACGCGGTGAGTACATGTCATTTAAAGCCCATCTGTACTAGTTTGGCTAGGAGGGATTAGACCACCCAGGAAGGTCACTGACAGGTGGCTATCTCATCAACTCAGCTCTCAACTAACATAAGAAAGAGAATCATGGGGGACCAATGGTCACCGATTATCATTGTTTTCTATATAGAGGGAGCAAGTAGCTACAAGCAGTACAGTGGGCCTTTAAAAGATTGTCACATCAGTCACAGATGTGATATCTATTCGATTCATACTAACTAATAGGCTGTTACTTTGCATTGTTCTATCTATTTAATTAGATAGTCTATATTTGATTCGGAAGATTACACCCATTTACTATCATTCCTGGATAAGTCTGATACAGTCTACGCAATCACACTCGCTCGAAAATGTTTCATAAAACTGTTATCAACAACAAAGGCTAAATTTCTATCACAAATTTGCTCTCAGCCAATCAAATTCCACCATTTCAGTAGCTTATAACAGTTATTGTAACTTGTTATTGCTTACAACTTTTATAAAACAGGGTCGGGACAGATAATTCATGACCCTCACTTGCCATTGCTACTATGGCATTTGAATCACGGGGTTGGCACGCTGAATGCTGAACACGTCGCCTCCGTAAAAATTATAATTTTCCTTTTTCAACTTGACAATTATCTACATCTACTTCTTCTAAATTCATGGTTAGCAATGCTTTTTTGTTGGCTTTCAAGTGATATGTATTCATCTCGTCGTGTATTCATTATCCAATCAATCTACCCATTTCAAAATGTGATTTATTTCTGAACCGGTAACACTCTTTCAAAAGGTTCATACATCTCATCGTCCGATATAATTATTCTCCTTCGTTGGTACAGGCTAGAACTCTTGGAAGTATTGGCCAGTTACCCAGAATACCAAACGAAATTCCAGCAAGAAATATCACGTGATTTGACCTTTAACCTTCGGGAAGGTTACGATTCAGAGGTAAGCATATTATATTTCCACAATCACGTGACCATCTTTTAAATTCTAGGCTCCGATGCAATAACTTTGTTTCTTTTTACACTACATATCTGTCATTGAGCTATGCAGGTATACAAGAAAGGCTGAAGGCTAAACACACACTTTTCACCTTCAAGACTTTTTGAAATTAAATTAAACTCTGATTTATTCAAGCTTATCAGCATTACATTGCAAAAAATACTTTAATCTTTTCCTTTTGCAACAAATTATTGAAACACCACTTCATGGGCATTTCAATTTCATCTCTCACCATTTTGGGCCGGTCACATTGATTTTGTTCACCTATTTGACACTACCATACACTCCATTTAAAGCAATAATTTAGCTCTTTCAAGCTCATTCCATATCTCTATGTCATCTCACTCTTTATCAATTACTGATTTCTTCATTTGAGTTTGGGATAAGCAGTTCCTTACAACATGAACCAAATAAAGTTTGGTTGATGATATCAAATGTTAACTTCCATAAATCTCATTCAGATTTATTTGCCGGATGATGTTATTAGTTATCATTGGATCCTCGAAAGGTTTGTTATGTAACGATTCTGTGAATATTCTATATTTTAAACTTTAAAATAAGTCACATTGGTCGATTTTTTTAGAAAGAGAATATTGTCTGAATTCAGCATGACTGCTACAGTACCTTTCTCTTATTCATACTCGTATGAAGCTGTTAATATGAAAAAGCGACCCCAGCATCAATGCTAGATATATCTTTCTCTATCCATCATTCGCTAAACTCAAAGATATCCTTTATCTGCTAACTCTCACGCTCTCTTTTCATCATTCTTCCGCCGTTGATGTTCTGTCAACCGGTATCATGAATGTTTCTATATTCATCTACCCTTGTCTATGCTCTCATATGGATGGGTTTTGATTTAAGAAAAGAAGAAAAGGGTTTTCCATTAAAAAATGGAAGACTTAATGAAGCAGAAAAACACAGTCGATCTCTATTTTTCAAGTATAGCACGACCTCTATTGCTCACCTTCTTTCAGCAATATTGGAGCTCCACACAAAATCCTCCAGATCCTGATTATCCTGCGGAAAAAGCTCAGAAAATGAAGAAGTTCCTTCGAAGATGGAGAAAGCGAGCCAGAGTGAGTTGACTCCTTTCACTAGAGCCACATGCCTGCCGTACCAGCCAACTAGAATAGTTGCATCTGATCTTGGTTTATTATCATTTTGAGTTGTTTATTTCAACCAACCTCTATTTTTACTTAAACCTCATACACGATAAGTTAGTCCTTCCCTTTTTGAACCACATATACTAATAGACGTTTTCACTTCTTTTTGATTACATAATCTCGCCTCCTTGTATGTACCATTTTTTATCATTTCGGGAAAAGCAAGAGGAATGCATCAAGTTCAGATTGACAAACCTGGCCAGTTTGTCTGTCCTGTATAACTGATGCTGGTTTCTCTTTTAAACCAGTTGCAAAATCCTTCCAACCGAAATCAAATTAAATTTCTAACCGAAACGAGTAACATGCTCTTAAAGTGAATGGAGGTATCCATCGATATACTTGATAGAAGGGTATCTATTTATATAGGCTGGGCTCCATTATAGTAATGATGATCCGCTGCACTTGTGTGGCGCCATTTATCTGTTTCAAACATTCAAAGGCGCCCGCTCCTCCAATAGTCAAGGACTACACATTTTGCTTGACAAGATGGGTTTTGAGGCCTGTAGTGAATAGAGTTTCAAGTTCATTTTATTTCATATCCAATAAAACTTGAAACTTGAATAGAGTATGCACCGAAGTTTTTAAAAAGGAACCAAACAAAATGGTAAAACTTTAAATACCTTCTTATTTCAATGCCTCACGATGCAACTGCATGTGTCTACTCTCACCTCACTCAAACTATGTTTTTTCTATTTTCATTTGTTTTTCTCACCTCCCATACTTCAGTGCCACTTTTTCAAAGCCTCCCGCACCACCGAGTCCGCACCACGTGTCGAATAAAAACATAGACTGCACTTCATTGTCATTTTTGTTCTTGACGTTTTTGCGTATTCATATGATTTTTGTATTTGAATATATATCTATATACATATATCTATTACATTTGTTTTAATTTCAATTTTGCTATTATATTTTTTGTTTATAAGAATGCTGTTATTAAATGAGAGTGGTTGACTACTCATGAGTTACATTTTCCTTTCTCTTAGCGCCTTTGAAGTAGGTCTGATCTCTTGTTTCAGAATTCGTCGGTTGTGCAAGAACGGAGTGACTGATAGCTCAGAACCACTGTGTTTCAACGAACACCGAAGACAGCCAACCTGCAGAATCTTACATTTCTAATGATGTATCGTTTAGTATTTTAATTAACTGTTCCTAAATATTTTCCTCTAAACTCATCTACAAAAAAAACTTCATTAAATTGGTTCGCGTGTCTAACAGGCAGAAGAAAAGTATTCGTACTGCGAAACGAACAACAGCGAAAGAAATACAAGGCTGACGTCAATCTCAGAAGTGCGTGACGAAGACGAGGTTGGGACGTCGAAACAGACGAGAGATTCGTCGACGGACACGGGCGAAGATGGCATGGAGAACAGGCATATGTTGCTTGATGTCAGCAACTCTATAGCCACATCTGTGCCACCAGATCTCAGTCCAAGGTATGACCGTTGTAACCACTCTTGCACACGTTTATTTATGTCAGTAGCTGTGATAATTTGTGTCACCGAAACCCAATCTGAAACAGGTCCAATGGAACAATTCCTTCGCATGTTACTAGAATTCAACTACAAAGTTAGCTCCATCTGTACCACAAGGTTTCAATCCAAGATATCACTTCTTAATTAAATCAGGACCCATACAACGAATCCAGATCTCCTTGCAAAGGTCACTGGAAAGTTGAACGCGTTTTAGATACAACAATTTTGCAACCACCTCATCCTTTGATAATGATATCAAGAGAAGTTGAACATAACTACGATTGTCCCCTTTTCTTGGCTCTTTTCTCAGGGTTGTGGACGGTGTAGAAGATGAAGGCAGTCCATTCAAACGTCACAGCTTTGAATTCCCTGCAGCACGCAGCAATGCCCATTCTGCAGCATCAAGGCATCGCAGTCTAACCTTAGCACCTCGTCAGCCACTGGTCGGAGAATGCCGCATGCGAACTAGCTACACAGCCCCGCAGTTGTCTCAAGGTAGTAATTTTGTAGTTGGTGCAAATATCTAAACTCTTCATGATTGTATTAGAAAGGCAGAAATTTCATTAAGGGATCACTTGCCATTTGCACAGACAACCCTTTCAACCCTTAATTTGTTACTGTGAATTTCAAAGTGTCCCGGCATGTACATCCTCAAAACTGCGAAATGCTTAATCTTCCTGCCAATTGAGTTACTCTGAGTAAATGCATACGGAAGATTTTCGTCTTCCACTCATCAAAGTAAAACGCAGAGTAAAAAAGAAAGAACAGAAATTCGACATGAGATATGAATATACTTAGGGGAACAAAGAAAGTGATTTGCTCTATTGAATGGAAGACGAAAAGTCTCAGTAGGTCTTTATTTAAATCTATCCTCCTATTTTGTTGTACTAAATTTCTCTTCATTAATCTTTATATTGTGGATGATATTCAACCCCTGCCTAGCTATCAGACCCTTTTTTCAGAATCTCATCTCTAGTACGTCATTCTTTGATCAAGGAAAGAATTCTGCTGATCCTGTTCAGACATGTACGGCGTGTTCTCTGTAATAATCACATGATTAGGTTTTCGTAAATAGCTGATAATATTGATGATACCGATGAATGGCTAATGAGTGGGAATTACAAATTTGATGGTTGATTTTATTTTTAACAGATCAAACAACAAGATCGAACTCATCAGATTCTCTCTACCAAGAAGATCTTAGACATGAGCTTGAGTACACCAGGAACAGTGTGGAACGTCTTGACAAACAGGTATAAAGTTTGTTTTTGCGAAAACTGCGACTTCCTCAAAGCGTCTGGAAGAGTTGGAACTTACTTTCAACTGTTATACGCCATAATTCGTAGTAATATAGAAGTTGTTTCTTATTATTCTACTTTTAAAACAATACAAGCAATGTGATGAGTTCTATATTTACTTATATAATTTACATGTTATTTCTAATAATACAAGGTATCGAACCTGAGCAGAGATGTTTCCAACCTGAGCCAAGACTTGAGGGCGGTTGTCAAGCTGCTTCAGGTCATAGGTCCAATAGCATCAACCTCTGCAAACCAAGCTGCAAATGCAGTGGCGGCCTCATCGGGTCTCAACGGTCCAGCCACACCAGGTCTTCCCGCGCCTCCGGCACCATGTATCATGACAGTCAAAATCGGACAGAGTGGCGAGGAGGATATCATCCACGTACAAAGACAAGATGGCGTCTTAGAGACCAGTCTCGGTGGAGGAATCCCCGAGTTGCCTCCAGGCACCATGGGGCCAACGGTCGCAGCCCTGGCATCCGCAGTGATGGCCTCTGCCAGTAGTAACAGTGCTTGCTCCACATTAGAACGACCAAGGAAAAGAACCAACAGCAGTGATACAGCGAAAGACGACGAAGGTGCTTCAGGGAGCAGAGTAAAAGAAACAAACCTAGTATTGTTCCAAGGGCCTGATGAGAACATGACTGAATCAGAGAGTCTGGAAAGATTAGACTATGACTCGGAGAATGGAACAGATTTATGAAACTGTTCCTTGTCGACAAAGTATCTAGAAGGAGAAAGAAAATATACTTTCATCAAACCATTCCTTGCTCACTCACTCATGACTCTCCAATTTTATTTTCCAACAATTTCTCTTGTGTACCTCGACTGTACTCTACGCAAAAGGGCAACTTTTGATGTGTCTTGCTCCAAGAGCAACCGCGTTTCAAACAATAGTGTAAACATTAAATATTATAAGACTTGTTAATTTTTTTTCAAGAAGTTTTGCACATTTTTACATTGTTTTATATGCAGAGTAGATAGATTTTTGTAATTTAATCGTATCAAGGTATTTTCCGATGTTACCAGTTATGCATCATTGTACTAACTACACTAATACATACGAGGCTGAAGCTTTAATAATAAGGATGATAGTTATAACATCCACACGTGTATGCTTATCGCACAACATCGTATATTTTGCACTGAAATCTGTTTTGTACTTTTTAAATACTTTGATGGATTTCTTTGACGTGATGTAATAGACCTGTTTGCTGATTTTAAGCATACTCATTGAACAAAACTTGTATGCATCTTCTTAAATAGCAACAGCTAGTGTATGCAAATTAGATTTCATCTACGGAGATGCCATCTTTCATAACAGATTCATTAAATAGTTGGTAATCAGGGGTTCTGAAAAGAAAGATGCATAATCAGAAATACATTAGTAAATAAGACTATTCTATCAAAGCCGTACCTCGGCTTACAACAAAGTTAATCAGCTCATCATGATAGAGATATCAATACAATATAAACGAAAAGAATTTTATAATGCCGTTCTAAAGCGGACACCTGTTAATGAGTTCTTATTAACTATGATCAATGAGTTAAGGCTTAATTGATTATATAGGGCACTTCATTTATCAAAAAATAGCAACAAAAATAATGTACGATTATGTTTATACAACATGAAATTCTTCACCATCCAAGTAATGTAATATCCTTGAAACAAGCCGTTAAGCAGAGTTCTTTACATCCATATATATCTGTAATGTTCTTATTTTTCTTTTTATTTCGTTTTTTTTTTCTTCCTTCTTTTTCTCATTTTATCGATACTTGTAGTTTGCTCGTGTGATTTTTCAACAATCGCTTCATAATAAACATAATTTAAACAGGTCTTTTCAATGAAATGGAAGAGAGAGAGAGGGAAAGAGGGGGAGACAGAGGAGAGGAGAAGGAAGAACCGAAGACCGTGGAAGGGTTCGAGTATGAGTATATATATATATACATGTTTTTCATTTCATTTTTGTTAAATCGTATTCATTGCTTCTTTGGCACTCAGGGAGCAAATAGGCTATATTGAAAGAACAAAAAATGACTCTCTGGGAAATTGATGTAAAGATAAGTTGCGTTAGTGAATCCTGTAGCCTTCTCCGTTTTTCTTCTCCATTTATATTTGCTTTTCTATCACAAATGTAAAAAGAATTATTTGTTGACCCTCTTACTGAATTAGTGCAGGGGACTATGATTAATAAGTCTTTTTACAGTTTATTACATCTAGCAATTGAAGTGGGCATATTGTCTCGCTGGATTCGTTAAGTATTTTCTGTAATAGATTCTATGCACTTTAGTGAACCATCATGAAGATTAAAAACTAGGAGAGATTACCAGGGGCGTATCCACTGACCCCTGAAGCTAAAACAGTGCCCCTCCCTTCCCCCATCCCCTTGACTGCTATTTCGGGTGTAAGCTTTAGTGTCGTACCCTTTTAGGAGCCTGGCCAGCAAAGTAGCTAGGAGTCTAAAGTCCCCATATCTTACTGTTGTAATTATTTCGTCTGTTCTGTTGATGTGTTTTTTTCACCATTAAACCGTGTTCTTCTTCTGTTCAACACTAGCTATTAACTCTGGCGTTCTAAGAATAGCTTTAATACGTAAGAATAAACACAAAGCAGAAAATACCTGTTTTTGTCTTTATTCTACATACTTCTCTCAGACTATAATTATCGATATTCGATTTGCAGTAAGTTTCCATTACCTCGCTATACATTTACATAGTAATTAACATCATCAACACCACTTTCATCATCGTCACTTTTATCTAACATCATCAGCATTACCATCGTCACCATCTATATTACCACCAACATCATCATCATCATCATCATCGTTCCATATTGCTATTTCAAACACACGAAAATGAAATCATCCAAAAATATAATATTTTCCATTAGACGTATGTGGTTGGTTGTGTCTTAAAGGTAGCATGTCCCATTTGAAGGCCAAAAGTATGAAAAGGTTAAATTCCAATGGCATTTGAAAAATAATGCTAATTAGGGACTTCCCTCAAAACAGAAGGGCTTGAAAATGTCTTTTTTAGGTAAAATAACGACCGTCAGTTGTCGAATCGAATTTAGCGAACGCGCCCGTTTAATTAAATAGACTGATTTTCATACCCTTGTACCGAATGGTAGTACGATTTGTGCTGCGCAAAGAAGTGGGTTATTGATGTGGACAAATGTTCATGTACCCTTAACATCTCATTTTATGTTATTTAAGTTATGACCATTGGAAAAAGTCAGTCAGTCACTAAATATTGTCTGACAGTGAAGTCTAGAAAGTAAACGGGTTTCCTTGCATAATTTGAATATTAGGACACTGCTAACGTTTAAATTTCACAGATAGGACAAACGTCTATTATTCATAATTCCTGCAACGTTCTACAGAATTTGATGTTGGCTGCAAAAGGTATACACTACTTTTTAAACCGATATTTCAAGGTTTAAACATAAAATCAGTCACCCTACACGAATTTCAACCCTTGGTTCGCACATTAAAACATAATTAAACAAAAAAGTTTTCTGTTCTAGAATGTAAAACATGGCTTGAATCCTCATGTAATAGGTGCAAAATTACCATTACTGTAACTTTTTGTAATATTATGGAAAATATTTATACAGGTGTGTTAAAACAAAAAGTGAAATCTAATAAACAAAATATATGGGGAAAAGTGAGGGGATGACATCTTCAACTCACTAATTTGCATACAGCTTATATGATACACATCACTGTTTCATAACATTCTGTGAAACTTTAAATTCCATAACTTTATTATTTTTCGACCGATTTTGTTGACATGCTCACCGTTTTGTCTGTTTACTTTTCTCTATTAATTCACTTCACCTTCCATAAATCAGTGTTGATACGGTGTGACTGAAGATTAAAATTATAACATCCGCCTTATATGTTATGGTTCAGAGGAGACAGGGATTACCATTTCATCCTGAACGCAGACACGCCTCATTATTTTCAACACAATATCGAATGGTTATTTCTTGTGTGATAAGGTTTGAAGGTTTTACCACTTGAGGAGGATGAAGAGGGCCGATATATTTGTTTTATTGTTTGTATTTTGCTTACCAGAAGACATAAAACAAACTTTCGTTTCTTGTTTAGCTCGTCACAGAACACGTAATATTCAGTCGCGTTTGCCCCCCCCCCCCCCCCCCCCCCGCCAGAGAATACTCGATCCGCCTCTGTAGATGTATATGGTTTAGGGTTATTTTATTTTATGATCAGGTCTTGGTTTTAACGTAGGGCGTAGTAGGTATTGTATGGTGCTGTTGAATGTTGTACGATCTATGTACCGTTCGTGGAGCTATTCAATGGTTTAATGGCTTCCAGAAAATACCAAGATTTACAGTATTTATTTCTTCGTCTCGAATCATGTCTTGTAATATATTGTATATTCGTCATTATATTGGAGTATTCTATTCTTCTTTACAGATTGTTAATAATTTATGCATGACAAATATTATGAGAGTATGTATATGTAATGCTGTATAAAGGCTGATATATGACGAGTGTACAGAACTGCTTGTATTGCCTATTTGTACGTGTATAGTATTTGGATAATAAAATGGCATATGCTGTTCCTTTTCACAAGGCAAGTGTCAACGTGTCAATTATTTATGAAAGCTTAAAGCCCGTCTGTACTAGTTAGGCCAGGGGATTAGACCTCCCTGCAAGGTCACTAACAGGTGTTTATCTCATCAAATCAGCTCTTAATTAATATATGAAAGAGGGGATCAAGGGGAACCAACATGCACCGATTAGCCATTGGTTGCTATATAGAGGGCGCAAGTAGCTGTAAGTAGCACAGTGGTGATTTATTATATGAGTGCCTTAATATTCCAGTCACACGGACGAGACCTACATCAAGCCAAACAAAACTATTAAAATACATTATCCGAATGGACAAAATATCGTCAATAAAACACTGAAAAATGTGACGAACTACTCAATTTACTTCTTATAACTGGAGTGGAAGAAATACAGCGTGCTTTTTTGCTGTAATGGGCAAACCTCTGGCAAAATTGTGTGTGCCATCATGAGTAAGAAGTGTCCATTAAATGTTAATGCGAAAGCAACCTGGCTTATTGATTAATTCCTATACAGACTGGTAATGATTATAGTCACCAAGAGATTTTGTAACAGTATTTTGAAACTATGAGCTTATCTATTAATCATCGACTCGGCATAACCTGGAGTTTGAAAAGCAGTCGTTGCATTCTTAAAAAACGAAATGAAAATTATGTTCTCTTTGTTTGATCGCTTTTCATATAGGAGGTATCATTCTAGAATATATATTTAATTATTTAGTCGATTATTAAATCTCCAAGAAGTCATCAATTACATCATAAATAATCAAAAGAATATACCATACTAACTTATGACTTTTTGTTTGTTTTATTTCCGAAAATCATCATAAAAAACAAAAACACAATATAACAAAATCAAAGACTTATATAACAATGATAGAATGATAAAACGGTTGGATGGTCCATTTCAGAGCCATTAACATAATAGCTCTGTTCTTCCATGGAGTCCAATATATATATATATATAATGATACTATAATAAGTAATGATATAACAAAATAGTAACTCGTAATTGAATTTTTTTTTTTTTAAATAACATTGTACTTGTACTTAACTTAACTAAATCAAATTAAATTAAATTAAACAAAAAACACTAACAAAAAGCATTAAAATCTATTCAAATATCCCCTACCATCCCTGATGTAACAAAATACGACCCCACCCTTATCACCCACCCTGCTAACAATTAACTTAATTAGTTTTAAAATATTCTACACATTATCTAATTTAGTCTGTTATTAAATTGATTATGTTTATGGCAAAAGCCAACTAAGGAATGACCTGATTAAAAACCCATTTTACTGGAGCCAGACAGAGTACATCATCAAAATATGAAACATGTAAATTACATTAGATATGAACACATTAAAAATAGAAAGAAAGGAAGATATAAAGGAAGCAAGAGAGAAAAGAAGAAAGCGTGAAATAAAAGTAGATAGAGAAAAAGAAGGTCAATATTACGTACAGTCTTGGTATAGGAATGACTTAATTTAAATATGCATGTATATGCGTGACGTCAACAGGAAATTAGGTCAGGAAATCGTTGTTTTTTGTACTTTAATCAACGTTAGTTTTCATTTGAAAAGCGACAAGTAATGGGATAAAATTAAAGTCACATCATATATTGATACTGACTGTAATTTTTCAGTGTGTTTTATTGTTATTGTGATTAGTTCAAAGCCATTGGAATACAAAGAACGAAGAAACGATAAAGAGTTGAGAAGATGAGTATAACATGAATGAGGCAGGCAGCTAAAATAATCGAAACTAAAAGGCCCTGCATTATTTGGATTGATGCCTCCTTCCATATGTTTCAGTTTCAGTTCAGTTTCAGTTTCAGTTTATTTTCATATTTCTCACATGTTGTATAGTACATCATTACATATAGC